TTAAGAATGAATTTAGATCAACTTAAAAAAAAATAAGAATAAATAAATGAAATGGCCAGAGCAGTGCTCCCGTCCCCGTCGGTCTGGCCGGACTTTAGACGAATAAGCACGAACAAAAAAGCACATAAAAGAACAACAGCGATATTACTCCTAAAAAATATAATTTTTCATATTTTTTAGATTATAAAAATTTTACCAAGCCGGGTAACCCAGCTTGTTAATATATACAAAAGGGTGGAAGAGGTCTTCTCGATGCTATTATGGTCCGGGCGAGGCGAGAAAATTTCTTGGGAATATCTTTTTGCATGGTTCTTATTTTCGCGCTTTCATTTAACAGATGAACTCAATAAAATTTACATTTGTGCAGTGGAACGGAACGAAACCGAATGGAACTGAAGGCATCATGGAGCGAAGCATTACGAAGTGAAACATCCTGGAACAGAAACCGGAACCGGAACAGAGAACGATCGGGAGGAACGGAACGAAAAAAAAGCCTCATTTCATCTTCATTCGACAGCGATGACTCGTTGAATCTGAATCAGGATTACATTGGAATTTGGCTTATCATTCTGGGGTGCTTCCGAATGATATCGAACTTCTCTCTTCCCGCCCGACGTTTTGCTGTAATGGTATTGCGGAGGATGATGAAAATCTGGAAGAGGGAAGAGGCCAGCCCGGCCCAGAGAAAATTTCATTATCGTCTCACTGAAGGATGCGTAACACGATTGCATTCTGAACCTCCAATTTATTACTCGACCTTCTGTTGGCGGTGGGTGGAGGGTAGTGCGGGGTGAGGGGAGGTGGGTGGAGGGTAGTGCGGGGTGAGGGGAGGTGGGTGGAGGGGAGCGGGCGACTAGACCAAATATGCCCTTCTATTTTTCATTGCAATCCAGGTAAATATTTTAGTTGCCATCGGACAATAAAAGTGTGAATTGTGACACAAAGGATGGGACAACTAGTAGATCTCAGCGAACAGAGAGCTCACTTTTTTGTGGAAAATTAAAGGTCCATTAAAAAAGGGAACTAATAAGTGGCTGACTGAATCACAAAGGTGAAAAGCTCCCATATATGACATGATATGGATTGAATATGGCAGACTGTCCAGGACGATAAGTGGCATTTATTGTAAGTCTCATCAGTTATGCACCTGATACTTTTGTACCACACAGACACGAAACGACTCAAAAATTTATTCTCAGCAGCATCTAATTATTTCCAAAAATTCACATGGGAATAAGGTTGCACCCTTGTTCCTTTTCCATGCACAGGCAATGAAGTACATGACTTAACCCTTTAGGGAACAAGTGGTCTCTGAGAGCTTTCTTGCACATTCTTGAGAGAGAGAGTGAGAAAGTGGCAAATAGTGCAAGGTAACATTGAAAAGGGATCTTGGCAATCTCTTGATATTTTCATCCATATTGGGCACTGAAATACAGACTTGAGACTCCATTTAGATGTAGATGCAAATGTTACAAGAAAGGGTCCAATAAAATGAACAGCAGCTGCAATTTGCACATGGGAAAACAGAAAAGCATGCACGAAGCCAACTGGAATACATACAAACATTATATAGCATGATGGTCACTGACATACATCAGAATAGTTCATCATATGTTCTCACAAAGACAACATTTTTATTTGAAAAATATTTTCAAAGACCCAATAGGTGAATAATAACAATAATGATATTAGTAATTAATAAGAGCAATAAGTGCAGAACAGCAAAGCATATTTGAGTATAAAAATATTGCAGGTGCATTAGATACCATGAAAATATATATTGAAAAGAGACAAGAAACACTAATTGAAATGAACCAAAGTGAAACATAGTGAATATATATTACCATTTGAAGTAGGTACATCTATGCGTAGGAAGGTACTTCCCAACAATGGAAGCAGCAGTCAGATCCATGGAAACCCAAAGTGAAAGAGCATAGCAGAAAAGGAGGACAAGGAGGCACCAGAGAAGCGAAGAAAAGAAACCAAAGGTCTGAGAGGGTCCACGAAAACATCAAGTGGACCTGATCTCCATCTACCCATGGGAGAAAGGTTCACAAGAATGTGGGTTGCTTGGTCTCCCCTCAGGTAATCTTGCATCATTCCTTAGGGTATTACAGCCAAAATGACTCAGGAGAATTATCTCAAATTTCCAAAAGAATGTCACAATGTCACAAGTGGTCTTTTGAACTGGAAAAGTGCAACCTAATCAGCAACCTAAACATTATTAGTTTTACTTGTATAAGTGAGTAAATAATACTTATGAACTTTATTTGCACACTACATTGCCTCTCCCATCAGACTGCTGCAGTGCAACTTTGTCCAACTAACTCATTAGGCTATTGCAGATGAGCAAAAGAAAGTAGCTCTGGAAGGAAAGAGAAAATTAAATCAATTCTCAGTGAAAATGCTACACATTTAATGTAGATGTCCACCTGAAACCAAGACCAAGAACATCTGCAAAACAACAGGGGCCACAGAGTGGATTCACCTCATGAGCCCCAATTCAACATTTTCCGCAAAATTGGCTATACCCTCACATCAAGTAAAAAGCCATCAATGAAGCTATGCTGTCAAGACAGTAGCTTGACCTCAAAGGCACCCCTCCAGTGATCCCACAGGCCATGCCTGTGCAAACCTCATGCTTTCAGTAGAGCTCCTATGCCACAGGGGAGGGAGCAATCCATCCTTTTCTCAGCCATTTAGCCAACACCATTGAAATGACCCCTGTCCACAGGCACTAGTAATATACTCACATTGAAGTGGTTGCACGTATCTTCCCCAAGGGCAAAGAGGTAGAAGGAGCAGCCCTAATACCAAGTCCTTCACTTTCAAGACAATGAAAAATGTGAGGAGCCAGGTAAATTGGAAAGGGAGTTGTAGCAGGGATCCCAATGTGCTGTCATGGGAAATGGACTCATCCACTCGTCTCTCAGACATTCCTCTTATTACAATTATAAATTGTCAGATCACTGCCAAAAGGCGATGCCTCTTAATCGACTCTTTGCTGCCAGGAAAGAGTTTATATCACCAAGGATCTCCAAAAATGTAAACAGGGACAACCTAGCAAGTGCTTATTCACATGGTTTTTGACATTATCACAATGAAAGAACTCCAACAAAGGATTCCTCTTTCTTCATGATGAACAGCCATTAGGGCACCTTTCCAAATGCAACCATCCCTTCCAAATCCTATCATTACGAAGTCTTTCAAGACCACACAGGGTACACAATTTGACAGTGAACCTTACCGCAAGGAACTCTACCTTGCAAGCAGCAGAGGGCTTGCTGCCTGAAGGACATCTTGAAGCTGTGACAATGAGGACAAAAGCCTCATGCTCCCAGTTGGTGCACACATGCTAGACATGGCAGAGCAGAGGGCCAAGATAGATCCCCAGTTTTCACAGCACTCAGAAGTTCTCTCATACTCATCATGCCTGAATGGCATACTTGAGGCTGGACACACCAGCTATTGGGGGATCGATTGATCCTGCTGGAGAAACTTCACCCGATCCAGTATCAAGTCATCTTTGAAGGAATACTATCTAATGGTGATAGCAGGAGGCAAAATTAATCCCACGGGCTGCAGCATCAATTCAACCACTGAAATATCATTCAGGTCAAAGATACAAAGATAATTGCAAGAATTCATAAGAACGCAAAAAGACAAAATTACAATTTAAAGACAGTGTAGAGGTTGCATTAGCAATGAACACATTGATCACAACGATAACTAGATAGGAAACGTTTCATGATAGAAGGAATGTTCTTTGTATCCATGACCCAAAATTCTGCTGTCAGATCCTCACAGTTGCTGTTCATTATTGTGACACTCCCTGAAACACAACTGGTACTGAAAGACACTGATTGGGCCATGGTTATACTTAAGAAACATTCTCACACAAAAAAATGAAATGGAAAGGGACACTGTAACAGAAGATATGCTCCAATCACCAGACAGTGCCCCTCCCAGAACTGGTGTTCACCTCTGTTTCAAATAGTTCCAGCAACCTTCTAACTTCCTTCCTGGAAATACACAAAAATTTCCCTTTCCATGATTTCATAGTGCCAAAGGTTGAACCTTGCCTAGAAAAAGAGGCCACTCACACTTGAAGAGCAAGTCGATATACTGGTGGCATGCTCTTGGAAAGCTCTTCACATTTTGCCATCAACTGATACATGCTCTGAAAGAAAACAAAAATTATGCCACTAAAAGTCAAATGCTGAATAGAACACTAGATTAAAGCCATTTCACATCATAACTGAACACCTTGACTTCAGGAAAAAGAATGAAATCAATAGAATAACGAAGCATGTATATTTACATAATATTTATTATCCTGATGTTTTTTACTCAGTCCTACTTTTGAAGGGAGCATTTCTGAATCATGGGAAGATGACACATCATTGCATTCTGTCAATATGTCAATGGGCAAGCTTTGTGGTTCTTGATTTGCATTTTTAAAGTATGAGCAATTCAGTTCAAATTTTCTATCTCAAAGGCTGAAAAAGAGAGGGGGGAAAAACCAAATGGAATATATTTCTGCAACAAATGAGATTGCTTAAGGTAGTAGATCTACTTTAGAATTGTCATTTTTGGAAAAAAAAAAGGTTCCAGGAAAAATGGATATAATCATACTTCAATTCGTGCAGTTTCATAATATTGCCATAAGAAGCTGAAAATATAAAAATAATGGTTAATTAGCTTAATTTGTTACCAATGTCCCTAACCTGTTGTCCCTGGCAACCACATTGATCGTGATTTCCTTGTTACAGCGTTTTTTAGCTGACATGCTGCTCTGAACAGCATAACTTTTAGTGTAATACACCCATATCCTTCATTTTTGGCTGAGAGCTACCTTGAATATTCCTCTAAGGAATGATAACAGTTTTTTTTTTCATTTACTCAATCCTTAAGCACTTTTTAGTACAATTGAATATGTAATTATGTCACAAAGATCGCTAAAAATAGAAAAACTTTCATATTTGAAAAAATTCACCTATTTCTTGAAAAATTGTTTCCCTCGGGACATTTGTAAGGATTTGAACTACAACACTTATCAATTCCATCAAATATGTGTGAACCATCTGTGAGAAAAACTGCTTGAAAAGAAGTTCATTTTATGGCTCTGGCAGCCATATTGGACCTCATCAGCATAAATAATGCTAATTATCTCAATTAATGCAATATTTGCTCAATCAACTTTTATATAGTCAGTTTGGTTTCTTGGAAGGAATAGAGATGGAAAAAGTTGCCTTAAAGTAGGTCTGCTACCTCAAGGAGAGGTTCAGGATGGAACACAGACAGGATAGTGCTTATTCTTGGACAGAATCAATTCAATCTACATGAACTTCTCATGTGGAAAATGATCTAGATGAGTCATACCAGGGCTCTTTGATGTAACACTTGATGTCTAATGGCCCTCCAGTTTTGAGAAATTCTAATTTCAAAAGCTGAACTTACTGTGTAATATCATGCCTGTTTCACTCTTGAACATGAATCATATGCAAGTAGTTTCAACATACCCGAATGTTAGCATCTACTCCATCACAGGTAATCCGGACTGAGCTTTTATATGCCTCAACAGAATCCACCGTTAGAGAGGAGATCTGAGGGAGAGAAGCCACCTAATATCAGCTAGGTTATCACTCGATAGGTTCCACCTAAAGGGAGTGGAACTCACACTGTGAAGGGTCCCTGAAAGATTCTCAATCAGATCATCTGCTGAAGTGGCAAGGGCTTTGGCATGGCGTTCAATATCGATCATCACAGTGGGGTCAATCGGAGGAAGTAAGGCATCCAGCACTTGCTGCCTCAGGGAGGAACTCTCACTCCGTGAGGAACCTTGGCTTGGTGGGGCTGGAATCGATTAAGCAGGGGGACACATATATAGGCCATGGACAAAAGAAAAAAGGGAACTAAAAGACCAATGATCCCAATCACAGGATTATCATTCATGCTGCTTCCTTCCAATAGGCTTAATACCCATTGTTCAAGGCCAAGTCCACAATTATATCATGAGAGCTTAGCAAGATTGAGTGGCACAAAGCAGTTTTTATGGATACTGGTTCAAGTATAGATATTATCAAGTCACTTTGTCATAAAAAAAGAATGAGAGAAGGATAAGGAATTTTTGATGAAATTGTTTCTATTTCCTTGTAATTTAAAGTGTTCCATGATTAAAAAAAAAACAACATTTTTCCATCATTTGACATCAAGATGGACTAAGCCAAGAAAAATGTGTTCAGTAAAAAAAATTCTGATGTCAGAGTTATTGACCCTCTTCACAAAATGTTAATTAGCCAATCATAATCATGCACTGCAAATAAATGGATCAATCAATTAATACATGTTGATAGGGAGGGATAGACATTATTGGAGTGTTGCAAGGGATATATGAAAGTTGGTTTTGGTAGATGTCTTTTCCCCATGCTCTCTAAACTGGAACACCACCAGCAGCCAATGAAGCCATGACAAGAGTGATATCATGCAATACAGATTATATCTATGCATTGCAACCCTAACATACAGATTAGGCTCAAAGTTGTCACAATATAAGGGAAGGCTGTGAGATGAAGCCTTTGATGGGGATGAAAATGTTCTACCTGCCATGCAGATATTTTTTGTGTGATAGTGTCTTGACTTCTCTACTGATATTCACCATGAAAGACAACAATGTTCTTATCAGTTTCATGGATCTTCACTTCATGAAGCAAGCTAGGATTAGGGAGTTCCTTCTTCAGAGATTCCCAAATAAACACAGCCACATTCTCAGTCGTTGATACAATGTTGGAGAAATGAGGCACATCTGCATCCAAATTTTTATGGTCCAAAGCATCCAAAATTGCAGTTTTCATCCACTCTTTTAGATCAGTAATGTTCACAACCATCCCAGTAATGGGGTCAATGGGTCCTTTGAGAGTCACCTCTACTTTGTAATTATGACCATGCCCATTAGGGTTATTACATTTCCCATACAGATCTAGGTTCTCCTTTTCAGATAAGGCTACACTATGAAGTCTGTGACAAGCACTGAAGGATTCCACTCGAGTCACATATGCCAGAGGACTGCATGTTTCCACTTGGGACATCTGGAATGATTGCAATACAATACATGCAGAGAACTATTGAAAAATATTTACACACTTCTCTATATCATGCATCATCCTATGCTATGAAAACCCTAAGTTTCTCCCTCATTTCAACATTTGACCCATGCTGACAGTAACACTGAGGTAGCTTTGGCCTACACTAAGTGACAAGCACAGGCAGATGTTGTTTCAAAAGTTATCTGCATTGAGCAAGTGTTGTCATAAGCTAAGGATATACTGTGAATTCAGACTAACTAAATTGAGCAAATCTAACAATACAGAAGTAATGTAACACCAGATCCCATCAGAGAGTGAATAAAATAACTCACAGATGGTAAGGATAGACACTCTACTTTCTGGTCACCATACATAAAAAAGGGACCTATGTTCACTGCAATCAACTACTTCTCTGCTAAAAGCAAAAGTCAGCCAATACTGTTTCTAATGCAACACAGATTGGACAGCAGCTTTACTTTAAATATTTTTATCTGAAATTCTTTTTTATTCAAATTAACCTGGAATAGCCATTCTTCCAGAAAAGAAAGCACATATAATCTTTTATATGTACACATATAATAATCTTTCTATGTACACACTGGCATTTTTTGCTACTCAAATTAAAAAAAGCTGGGGTGTAATTGATTACACAGAAATGTTACTGACTTTACAAAATCCCTGGACATGAGCAACAATTTTAGTCTCAAGTACAACAGTAAAGAAAGAAATGTAAAATAATATCATCAGGAGAGATGAATACAACAAAACATGAATGCCTTCATGCAAAAACAGAAGCAAATAAATCAAAATAATGTACAATCATCACTCTTAGTAACTTCCCTTAGAAAAACCAAATTGAAAATCATTCATCCATGCAAAAATTTCCAATCTATGCCAACTTAGCTCACAAAACCAGGAAGAAAGGCTGGGTTTTCAATATCTCTTGAATGTGTTTCATCAGTTCAAATCATGTACCTTAATACTTAGTCTAACCTCAAATTTGTGACCATTCTCAAGAAAATATCTTAACACCATTCTTAACTATTTAATTTAATTAACCATTCCATTTAAGCGTGACAGCAGACATTCTGAGTTTGAATCACCCAAGGGTCTTGCAAGACCCTTGGATGTGGAAAAAATGTAATATGAAGCCACAAGAAAGAGCCTCCAAACTATTATATTGAATATTCTTAAATGTCATTCAAGTAGTAGCATGGATGTATGCTTTACAATCCTAATTACATGATTGCTAACAGTGCTAAAGCAAAAATGCCATATATTCATGGTAACATAATAGCTAATGACCCCTGCATTGGTGTGGAAATATAATGTTACATTAAAGCTCCAACATGAGTTATTAAGGTTAATGAGCTATACTAATTTTATTAACAAGTTTCAAGCAGGGAAAATTTGTCCCTTCAGCAAAATTTGAAAATAAATTGGCCCTATTGATTCTTGTGTTCAACTTAGGAGCTCAATGACAAAGAGGGTTCTGAAGTAGACTATCAAGATGATTTGAGAGGTATGGAGACTTTCATAACAGCAGCATTCTCATTTTTTTCACCTGAGTCAGATAATTTAAAGTTTGGCTCAGACACACATGCATGAGATGTTCATTGTGCATAAGTGTTCAAATCATGTGAAATAATGTCTGATTCAAGTGAAAAACACTGTAAATATACATTGTCAACTGTATTTACAGCAGAAAAGGTTAATCTAGAGGGATCTAATTCTGGCATTAAAATATCAATGAAAGCTTTGCTAATGAAAGGTATAGCAGGTATTTCCAGGTACTTGTGACCAGCAGAACAAGGGGGAACCAGTTCAGGCTACTAAGCCTCACCACTCAAAGCTGTGGAGTCATTTTTTTATTTGTCAGGCAATGATTGGATGGAAGCATGGGCTAAATGCAAAGCAGTTGCTACCATTGTGTAGATAGCTTTAACCCATTCCAGCCCAAATTAACTTCTACTCTACCCGAAGAAAAAAAATGTATTTGAATGAAATTTAACAATTAAAATAATAACCAACTTTTAGAAGTACTAGAATAACTATGCCAAGTGGAGTCAAAGGGTTAAAGCAATGCCTTAATATAAAATTGGACCATGATGCCATATGGCATCATTGGGCTGGAAAGGGTTAAGAAGACATGAGGACTAAAACATTAAATTTTGTTAGATGCCTTTATGAGCAACAGGAATAGGTGGTGCGCTCGACCTAAGATATTAACAAGCCAAAAATGCCTGTTTTCATCCTAACACAAACTGTGAATCTTCAAAAGTGACATTTTGAGGCTCATTATTTTCTGAAAAAAAAAGCATGAATGGAAAGGCCTCAACTAACTGGATTGCCTGATCTTGGTCTCAAGATCAGCGGTCACAAACTGAAGCATGTCTCCCTCCTTGATCACAGTTCCTTGGTCAAGAGTTTCGGAACCAGAGATAGGCCTCGCCCTATCCTGCAGTTCTCCAGCAAAGCCACTCGATTCCTCCACTTTTGACTGAAAATCGGGGGTTTCACAGTCAAGGGTAGACTCTTCTTCTTTGGAAATTCTGATTTTATGCGGGTCCAAAGACACTGATTTACTCATTTCGTGCCCACTTCACGGACCATGCCACTGTACGATATCCAAGCACGTGCTACTAACTACAGCTCGATTTTAGGGTTGCGCGATTTTCATTTTAGTTTAAACCACCCAACCCAATACTGAAAGAGTCCCCTTGTTTAGATAAGATACGGCTCCTCCTTTAATGTACTAAAATGTAAAAATTTTCTGTTTGCCAGAAAGAGATGCCAAAGAATTTGCTTCCTTCTAATTTCACTGAGCTTCCACTCATCCACCACTGGTATCCTTGGTAAGATGTCATGGCGCCTTGCAGGCTTCGAGGATCGTGGGCTCCTGGCGAAAATCTATCCGGAAATCTATGGGGAGAGGGGTTGCTTGGTTGCGGTGTTATCTGTTGAGCCAAATTTATGCATATTGTGTAGCCCTTCATTGTTAAGCGGTTAAGTTCGGCTCTTCTCTATTTGTCGTATTCTTACGTATGCTCTCATGTGGCTTACCCGGTTACGTAATGCGCTTTCTCCCCCCTATTGTGCACGCAATGCTTTCGTTCAAAATGATTCAAGTGAGAAAGCGCATGGCCTAACGAGTTTCGAGTTTAACGTGCCAAGACCTAGGCGTAAGCCTAAGATATGCCAAGTTATGGCAGCTCCCATCAGCTAAAATGAGTTTCAGGCTAAATCTATGTTTAGGCTAACGTTAGTGGTTGAAGCGGAACCCATGCCATTGAAAACTCGATCTTTTCTCCTTTTGTTCCGCCTCAACTCAAGAAGAGTCGAGAAGTATTCCTATTCACTGCCACAAGCAGAGAAACTAGGACTATTAAATAAATCCTAACTTGAGAGCTGGTTGAGGAGAGCCTGCTTAAGTTGATAACCTATCACCTGGTACCACTTGTGGTCCCTCGAGGGCAACACATGTTTTTAGCATGAAATTAAGTGATTTCTTAGGGGGTCTCTCAGGTGGCATGCTACTTGTGTTTAACGGAGTGAGTAACAATCAAGAAATGGTGTTGGAGAGTAAGCAATATTATTATTTCTGTGTTATGTGCATACTGCCTGCCTGCCAAATCTGCCTCTAGTGCTTGAGCAGAGACACATCACAGTCCCACTATTCATTTCCATTCATATCTATTCATGACTTCCCTCCCTGTGTTCTATGGGTCTGGATCTAGTGGGTGAATGGGTGTGTGCATAACAGGTGTCATTTGTGAGGAGTGCACATGTTCTCAATGGGTGCATACTGTAGTGTTACTGGTTATCATAGATTTTTCTTCATTTAGGATGCTAAGCCTCTGTTAGGTAGCCTGAGCCAAGTGAAGAAATGTCACTAAAGAAAATATAACAGTAAAGTGATATTTTTTGCCCAGTGATATATTTTGAAGATGAACATGAAAACTCTCGATGTGTACTCATTGTGGTAGCTCTAGCTTAGGATGCCTAATCCTATCATCTTTAACGTTAGGACAATTGCCACGATGTCCATGGCCCTTGACTGGAAAATCCACACTATGTCCTTTAAAAACAACTATTAGCTTTGTCTCTTGTCATAATGTAGTTGAGATCCACCTAGTCCCCTTGATTTTGGTATAATATTAAATGTGATAAGTATGCTACATGAAATTGAATTTTGGTGATGATACTCCTAATGAGCTTGCTGTAAATAGGGGCAACCTAGACTTGTGTCAAGCCTGAGCCCAGTTGGACCTGTGTTGTATAATATGATGTCTTCTCTTATTTCTCTAGATCAAGACCTTATTTTGTGGGGGCCTCTGCTACTTGGGCCTCATAGGTTTTCAGAAATGTTTGGGGGTTTGAGTGAGCTGGTTGCAAATGAGTCTTCTTCGATGTCTGAATTATCTCCAAACACTTTGGCTTCACATGGTGTAGAGCAAGACCCATTGAGTGAACCCATTGACCTCTCATTCCTGAAAAATGGAGAAGGTAAGGTTACACTCTCTACTGGTACTGCTACATTTCCCAAGAAAATGACAATGTAGAAAATGCTTTGACATTGGTTTTTGGACCTATTGGTATTTGTTTACTTTCTTCTGATGTTCTAGGGAGAGTTTCAGTTTTGGATTTGTCTATGTCTCTTGGAGACAACATGAATGATGGAGGGCTCAATGATGCTCACTCAGCATGGGATGATGACAAAGTTCTTCCTGTGGGAAAATACATTGTCATATATGATGCATCTGGCAATTCTGGTGAGCCTTTTGGATTTTTCTAGTAGTAACTGACTGAATTCCAGCTTGTTTGCAACACATATTGCATTGCATATTTTTTTATTTTTTGCAGCAACAATACCAGAGAAGCAGTTTGCAGCTCAGCTTCCCAAGGCATTGGAGTGCATGAAAGGAGATGAGATTCAGACAATGATAGTGGAAGTGACAGAGGAAGGTGATCTCATTCAAGTGGAGGATTGTAGCCTGCAGTTAGAAGATCTGTCTGCTATCCAGTGCACTGACCTTCCACTTGCTGAAGAGGTGGGGGTAGAGATTGTACTTTTCACTTTTCAGTTGTATTTAAAGCAGTTCTCAGTGGATTGTAAAATTATTGCATGGAAATAGCAAATAGAAGCAGCTCAGCTTGCTGGGGTCAAGTGAAAATGTTATCTTAAATTGAGACACATTGATCTTCTTCTTCAACTGTCTGTTTCCTCACTAGCTGACCATTCAATTCAGCTCAAATTATTTCTATCAAACATCCTGCATTTAAATGTGCTTAATCCCCATTCTATATACTCCTATTACAGGTAGGAATTGAAGGAGAAAGTCCTATCACTGGAGAATTGGCAGTTGACCTCTCAAGTGACAAGCAAGAGAAGCAGCTGACTGGAAGAAAATCCAGGAGAACAAGATTGCCAAATGTGAAATCTGTATCAAATGGGGCAGTGAATCAAAATTGGAGCATTCCATCCAAAGATAGTTCAGATGATGAAGAATCCCCAAAAGGCAAAGAGCAATACAAGCAGGGGATGTGGAGCAAGGAAGAATCAGATATACTTCAGGAAAACATTGAGAGATACTGCCAGGTGAGGACAAATTGCATTCTCCCTCATTGAATCCATGAAAGAATCAACAAGGTACCAGAGTGATATTTTTTGTATGCTTTGATTCTATTCAGGAGCAGGGAATTGATCACCCTCGAAAGATAGTTTTCAACATGACCAGAGATGAACGCAAGGGATTTTATCGCATCATTGCTAGAGGGATCCAGCGGCCACTTTTTTCTATCTACAGAAGGGTTGTGAGGTGGGTTCAATCAAGCATTATCCTTGCACATGATTTATGTTATAAATTTTGTTTTACTTAATTGTGCCATATTCATACTTATTTTAATCTGTCCTTTTACTCCCTTATCCTAGATAGCTCAAGCTTGTGAATGAACTGTTTACTGTCAAAAAGATAGAAGACGTACTTAAATCCTAGTAATCCCAATTGGGGCTACATCATCTGAACTGGTTTCAAGACTATGCAGTTGAGATCATTTGAACCCTGATGATCCAGATGTAATGATCTGTAAGAAAGTAAATATTAATATTAAATAAAATAAAAAATTGCTTATTTCAAGGAGTGACAGACATTTTGTTCATAATTACATTAATTTTGCCCCCTTAAGGCATGTGGAGGATGTTCTACTCTGTAGGTGAAATTTTGGTATCTTGGTCTCATTTTACAGACTATTCTGATTCTTAGCTACATGCATAAACTGTAACATCCCTGCATGCCTAGTCCAGTCTGAAGAGTGAGTGATAATTGGCAAAATCCCTTGATTTGTTGTATGATTTCTACTGTCACCATGAAATGGGAAGTGACCAGGAATGAATTTAGTTAAAGTGTAGCTGTATTGCATGCATCCATTCCTACCTAAACCGGTGCATTGTATCCCCTCTATCCATTGATTGAATTTTTTCCTTAACCAATCATAGTTTCACCTGCCTACCATCTCCATATTTGGTAGACATATCTGCTTCTCTATAGCATGGTATTAATAGAATTCTGTTTCCTCATTCCCCCCCCCCCCCTCCCCTTGGTGGGTTGGTGTGGTTCCAAGTCCATGCTGGCAAAAATTCCCTTTTATGATTAAAACCAGAATTAACTGAGTAGCCCCAGTGTAGATTCATACTTATTTACCTCCTGCTCCCATTTGATCTCTGAAGAATTCAATTTTCCAATGATCTGCATATAATAATTTTCAGTTTCCTCTAAGTTATACCAAACAAATATTCTCAAGGACAGCCAATTTTAAGTTGTATGCTCAGAATCATGCCAACTACTATCCCTGGCAATGATGTAAGGCAGTGTATGTTATTATCATTGACTGTACATAACTGGTTCGTATGATATGGATGAATGAATGTTAACCTTAGGGTAGAGCTTAAGGGTGGATTTTTGAACAGAGATCTATTCAATAATGCTGCTTTATTTCCAGGAAATATCATGTATTTTCCCTGGAATAAAGCTGCATTATCAGAAATTCTCTGTTCAAAATTCACCCTAAGCCACTAGAAAAGAAAATGTCCATTATATCACCTGCAGTACTGAATTCATGCAAAATCAGCTAAACTTTTATTGGCATCTGATGAGCTCATTTTGGACTCCATTTTAAGCTGGATTGACCCTTTCAGCCCTGGCAATTTTGATTAACTATAGGTTTCACTCATCATGATGGTTACAGGGCCCAAAGTGTTAATCTCATATAAATTGAAATTCTCTTTTATTCAGAAGTGTCATTTTCATAAGACAGTGGGAAAAAGTGACAGGGTTCAAATGTATAATAGGTTATTGCCCATTGCTTTATTGCTTCTTTGAAATATTTAGAAATATCTCATATCAGAGAGAAATACTGCATGTTCAAGAAGATCATGTGATGGATTTTAATTTTGTATTTTTTGAGCAGGATGTACGAGAAGCAGGAGAAGGTTGGTCCGTACTCTCAGGAGGAAGTTGAGGCACTGAAACAGTTGGTGAGCATCCATGGGAAGAACTGGAAGCTGATTGGAGCAGCTCTTGGGCGGAGTGGAGAGTCCATCAAGGATCGGTATCGCCTCGTTCGAGATGACTGTCGCAATGGTATATTCCTATGTTCTATGTTTACTTACAGAGAAATTATTTCCAAAGTCTTTGCTTTCTCATCAGAATATGAAAATTTAGGAAAGGTGTGTAATGCCATTTTCTTAGGCACATTCTAACGAAGTTAGGGATTAAATTTAAGGATTGTGAATGGCATATGAAGCTATCAGTGTTCACAGTACAGTATTATTTAAAATATTTTTATGATGCTGTCTGTGCTTTCCCTCAGAAATCTTGGTTTTTTTTAATACCTCATCTGCATTTGACTATTTCAGTGATATGTACTCTCAAAGTGAATTCCCATATAGAAATTGATTAAATATTCATCCTGAAGCATATGTACATTAACTTAATTTTTTAATGAAGAGATATGTACACCTTTGCTCAAATTTCACTCATGGTGGTATACACACTTTAAATTAAGACTTTTTTCAGCACACTTTTCTTCTCTCAACCACCCTGTTCCCCCTGTTGGTATTTCACTGTCCAACCATTTTTCTAATGCCCTGAGGCATTTTATTCAAGGATTGGTGCTCTTCAGTACATTTCATTATGCACTGAAGGAAACAAAAAAAACTTTTATAATTCTGATAGGTGTAGCAAAGATGACTGCCTCTTCCAAGTGCAATATGCAACTGAAAGAACTTCCTCGGTGACTGATATGAGGATACACTGCAGAAATGAAATTTTTTGAATGAACTGCATCTTTGCAACACATCCCATGTACTCTCACTAGGAGATACCATGATGTCACTTGGGTACCTTTGAATGTGTCATGCCAATATGCCTGGTACTCCTTTGGCACTTCTTACCAGGCAACATTTGCAACTTCTGAGTCTTAACTGCAACTCTTTAATAGACCTTTAACTTTTGTGTGATGTTTGAACCAAAGGGAAATGGAATGAGGAAGAGGAGCAGAAGCTGTCTGATGCAGTACATCAAGTGTGTGGCCAAGAATCAGGAGAAATGGCAGTTTCTGGAATCAATTGGACTGAGGTGATGTAACAATTGCAAATACTACCCACTATTCTTATATCTGATTTTTTTTGTTGCATGAATTTTTAGATTCATTGAAAGTATTGCATTTTTGGCTTTGACAGGTGGCCCAAATTGTAGGTACAAGATCAGAGAAACAGTGCCGCAACAAGTGGCTCCACTGTCTTTACTGGAAGGAGAGCAAGGGCTCTGTTTGGACACACAAGGATGATCTCATTCTTGTAGAAAAGTGAGCTATAATTCATTTTGACAACTCTGGCAAACATGGAGGTCATGTCAGAATGTTCCATAGCATTAATTATTTATGAGATAATGGCTAAAGTTTCTGAACTGTGTCAGTCACCATTCTCAAGGCGACATAGATCAAAACCCTTTGAACATATACTTGAAAGAGGTTTAAAAAGAAAAGATTTATGTGCAGATGAAAGATGACAGGTTTTGACATACTGTTGATTGAAATGGCATCTTCTAGCTAAAGCTTCTAGCTTTTTATTGGTGCTTAAGTGGTACCTTACTTTGTTATGGTGATTAGTGACAGACATTCTTGCTGGCAAAAAATGACTGGATGGTCTTTTTGAATAACAGGATAGGAGCATTAAATGCCAAAGAAGAAGGAGACATTGACTGGACCTCTCTGGTTTTGGAGAACTGGTCAGCTGTGAGATCCCCTCAGTGGTTGCGAAACAAATGGGGTCAACTCAAGCGAACCTATGTCATCAACCACAAGGATCTTCCTCTTGAAGGTTTGTCTATAGCCAATTGATTGAAGTACACTATTTTCTTGTGTGAATATTCTTCATTTTCACATCATGTGTCAGTTGTGCATAATATATATACAATTTCCAAGTTATTTTAAAGTACTTAAGCCTGAAAAATAAAGTCAGGAACTCTGTGCAGACTTTCATAAATTGGTTGCTCTTTCATTTTTTCATGTAGAGGTGTTCAAGAAGCTGAGAGAGAACATCTCAGCCCGGAATCCTGTGAAGCAACAGCGAGCAAAATCAGAGAAACCAGATTCATCATCTGGGAGACGACAGCTGGAAAAAGAGAACAGTCCTAATGCAGCCAATGAGAGTGTGCTTCAGCCACTCCCTCCTATGTCCACATTGCCTCCATTTGGTACTCCTGTTTTCTCTGCTGCTCCTCCTCAGCACAACACCATACTCCATGCATCACAAACATCTATCATCTCCATACCTCATGGTGAACCACCACTCCTTATTTCTTATAGAGTGGCCTTACAGTCACATCTTTCTCACAATGGAACTGATAGAATTTTCATATCTGTCAAATTTTAAAAACTACTTTACTCTTTGATTATTCAATTAATGTGAAAAAAATTGAAAAGAGGTACTTTTTGGAGTATTGTCCCATCTCCAATCTTCAGCAATGATGGACCAAGAACTTAGTTATCATTGTTCAGTTTGGAAATTTTATTTTCATTACTTTGGACTGTACTAAACTAGATAGAAACATAGCTTCAACTGTGCACTAAGGAAGGCTTGCACTCGTATTTTGAAAAATCCAATCACTCAATAAAGAGGTTCCAGTTTGATTTTGAAGTCATGGACAGCCTATAGCAGGCATTTTAGACTTCACTTGCAATTCCTCCCAAATTTTTTACTTTATGAAGGGGCAACCCTGGTTGGGGGGACAGGAGGACCTGGAGCACCAATCCAAGTCCTTGGTCCAAGTCCATCGTATGTCATCACCACTCCTATCATTGCTACGATTCCTCAGCCTATTATCCTTCAGCCTGTTGTGGTTTGTGTTCTTGCATTGCTTTGATTCCTTTTTATATGATACCTGCACTCATGGCATAATTTTAAATTGGTTTCTCTTCCAGTCAACATCAGAGTCAGATGTGGGACAGACAGCTCTTGTGGTTCCTCCAATGGATGCTGATTCTGGCTCAATCACACACCCTCCTCCTGGTCAGTGAGCATTCATTACTTTTAAGCTTAATTTTTAATAATAAGCTTAATTAGGGCTGTACCAATGTATTGGGAGCATTGTGGTGGTGAAGTTGGTCCCTCAAGTTCTCAGCCCAATGCTGTTAGCATAATTTTAAATGACATGCATGACAAATTTATCCTTAAAATGGTTAGATTTTATAGGTATTCTTGAATGTAATTTGGCTGACATCTATTAAGCATAAAAATAAACTGGCAGTGCATGAAGCCACCCACAGCACAATATTGAGCCAAAGTTGGATCACTAATCTCATACTGTTCCAACATTGTATACATTGACCTTATGTTGGTGCAAGTTACTGTGCAAACTGGGTATTGCATAAACTGTAACTCTACTACCTTATGAAAGACTTAATATAGCTCAAGCCCAGATGAAAAAAGCATTTTAAAAAAATAGAGATAGGTCTCAAGGATAGTTGACGTAGGCAATACAAGGGAAATAAAGGTGCCAGGGTTATCTGCAGCCATTCAGTCAGGGAGTTTCTCAATGTGTGTATATGACCCTTTATCATCAGATAGTAGACATGGGAAGGGTGGGGGAAGCAAAAAGTGAGTCTGTCTATAGTGTTAAGGTAACATCCAGATAGTGAGGTGATGACTAAAAAAAAAAAAAGCTCCTGCCCCTTTTTTTACTTTCCTCAGGCCACTATGTATTGGGCATTATCTGCTGCTCCACTGTTGCCCTACATAATGTTATCCTTTGAATGGAGACTAAGCATCTCTGGAACAATATTGCTAGTGTAATTAGTTCCTTCTAAATTTTGTGAGCAAAGTATACTGTTCCCAATCAGCTGTTTGCCAGTACCGTGAAAAAGTCATTCATCCATTACCAAACCCAAACATAAATATGAGTTGTCTTGCATGACAAATTTGCATCATAATTTAGAGTTAACCCATAAACATAGTTTATTTATAGAGCTTGATTCTCATGGACAAGAAACAGTTGGGATGGAACAAAAGAGAAAACAGGCTCATTATTTTTCCTTTCAATATCACAATTTCTGCAAAAGCATGAAGAGCAAGTTCCTCCCCACTCACATCATCATAGTGGCTCTTTCCTTACAAACAATTAGCCATCCTTGGATTTATCCTGATGGACTGGTACTCAGGAAGTTTGTCTTCCTGTTTCTTGTCCATTGCCATTTGTGTGGGCCCCATTGCCCACACAAATGGCAATGGAAATCCAGCTAGAGTGGAACAATGAATGAGTACCATACAGCTGATGCTGCAAACTACCACACTTATTTAAATCATATGGAAATTGTAGGAAGCCTCACATCATTTGGCAAGAAAGTCAGTGTAGAAGTATCTTTCCTGCACCAACTTGGTTGAAATCAACCAAAGCCATTATTGTTTCAATGCAATGAAAGTGAAATGTTCAAATTAGCATTATTGTTTGGATATTGTTGATCTGGAATTTCATACTTCCAGTCTGTCTCCAAGGAGATATGGAGGAAAGCCCTAGCATCTCTTTCAGACCTTCACACGAACACTTGGATCTCAAGGAATCCATTCCTGATGAAGACATGGATCCCCACATCCCCCATCCTGATGTTATCCTTCGAGGTAAACAGCCAAATCTAATACTCCCCATTTCATAGGAGGAAGATTGCTATGTCAAAATGGCTTCCAGTCAAAAGTAGAAGATTTTGCAATGTTATTATTGAAAAAGAAGAAGTATGGAAACCGTCACAAGAAAAGGTTTTCAGGCTTCATGGTAAGCATTTCTGCTCTCAGAATTGAGGTTTGCATAAGTTGCATGCAGGATTCCAGAGTGTCAAGATAATTTAGTTAACAGTATGTAATTAGAGAAGCATTACACCTACATTATCCTTACCAAAGGATAATGTAGCAGCAATATGCTTTCCATTGAGATGAATTCATGAAAGGTTCTTTCTGATGAGTTCACTGTCTGTATAGTATCACAACAATAACCCAGCCCTTTCCCCTGACCTGCTCTTGTCTCTTCTTATAGATGCATACCTTTCTGCTGGCAACTCTCCCCTGTGAGAGTTCTGGAAACTTCAGGAATTCATCAGTATTACTGCATTATTTGCTCACTCTGACACTTTAGAGATGCCATCTAACTCCATCCTTTTTCATTGTTGCATTATCATTGTTTTTCTCTTTTTTTTTTGCTGATCACTGTGTCTGTGATATTTTTTTAAATGTTTTTTTTTCCTATTCTTGCCAGTCTTGAAATAAAATATTTTTGTCTCCTTTGTATTTTTTTGCATCATCATATCAAACTTGACACTTCATTGAAGAGAGTATGCATTTTCTCTCAGAAGCATTTTCTAATTTTGTTAGTGGGGGAGTAACGAAAGGCTGAATTAGAAAGAAGACTTGCTGCCTGAATCGCTGTAATGCAGTGATGTGGCATTTAAAGCCAAGCTGGTGGCAAGAAGAAATAAACTTCCAGTGCTGTTTGCTACTTTCTGCGAGGTATTCTCCAATGAATTTTCCTTTAGAGGTTTTGGAATCAGAGAGTGATGAAATGATGCTGTTACGAAGAACCGGAGTGAGTCGCCGCGTCCTGCAGTGGTGCGATGCAAAGGGCAAGCTGAAGGTCAAGGCCAGGATGACCGAGAGGACCATGCCACAGAAGCGGGACCTCTGCACTCCCGCGCAGTATCCAGTCCAAAAGTTTGACTACCTTCTCCTCCTTGACTTTGAAGCCACTTGTGACAATATCAAAACACCTTATCCCCAGGTCTCTGCCTACTTCATGCCTCAATGTTCATCATTGCCCTGCTGCCCTCTGCATTTGTGCTCTTTTTTTTTTTTTTACTTTCTTAGGAAATCATAGAGTTTCCTTGCCTGAAGGTGAATGCCAAGAATATGGAGGTGGAATCCACATTCCATCAATATGTCCTTCCTCGTGCAAATCCCTGCCTCACTTCATTTTGCACAAATCTAACAGGTATCAAAATGTTCATGATGTGTTGCGAAAATTGAAATAATCTGAGTTGAATGGTTATTAAGTTACAAAGTATATTACAAATAAAGTGGAATGCTATCGAGTGAATATACTCTAGAATTGTTTTTACTTATAATGAGATCAAATTATAATATTAATATGGAAGTTATAAGTTTTAAGTTTTATGTCTAGTTTTTTACACCCTGATTGGTAAATCTGATTATTAACCCTCAATTGGTAATATGAAAAGCTACCAATTGATGTTGCTAAAAATTCACTTATATTATTCACCTATCATTCTCTTGATTCGGCTAGGGATCATCCAGGAGATGGTGAATAGTCAGCCACACCTGGAGGAAACCATGGAGCTATTTGACAAGTGGATGGAGGGAGAGAACCTCAAGGATCCCAAGGTTCATGACCAGCCTCTTTTTTTTTTTTTTCATCAAACGAGGTGATCATGACGGTTTCTGGTTTTGGAACAGGTGACGAGCCTCTTTGTGACGTGCGGGGACTGGGACCTGAAGGTCATGCTCCCGTCCCAGTGCCAGTACTTTCGCATCTCCATCCCGGACTACTTCACCAGATGGTCCAATCTCAAAAAGGTCTTGCATCTGATCTCATAATTTGGATTCGGTTTTCGTGAACTCGATCGCAGCGTAGAAAATTAACCTGAAGACATCAATCATCGAATATTTCAAATAAGATTTTATTTGTTACTTGATTTAAGTTTTACAATTTTTGTGCAAATATTTTCTTCTAAACTTCGTTCAATCGTTATTGGAGGGAAAAAATAATTATTTCCACTTGAGTGTCTCTTTCCATCGGCACAAAATTGAAGACTCAAATCAGGCCCCCATGCCTGAGGCAAAAGCAAGAAGTGTCTGAGCCCTGTATTTTGGTCATGCAATGTGAGAGGTTTCAAGGAGTTTTTAAGTGTCTCGAATGTTCTCTAATTACAAAGATTACATGATATAAATTGCCTGCATTCCAGCAGGCAATGAAAAAGTGTCACAGGGAGCAGTTTAGACTTTCGCTGTTCCTAATGATAGTGGATAAAAATGGAAGATATTAAATGTAATCGCTTTGAGCTGTCATACAGCAGTGAGAGGAACGGCCCCAAAAATGTATCGAATTAATTGAATATACCAATTTATGGACTACAAAGCAAGCCACCGACAAGAGTCATATTCCCAATAGTGAATGCATTTGTAAGGAACAAGCCTCATAAGAAAATCACAATTCCTCTGCTCTGAGGAAAAGAAAGTGTAAATATCCGTTCGACATGTCGTGGCCATTGAGATGGAAAATTCTTTAAATACAGGATCCACGCCCCTAAGCTGTCACGCTCGAGAATACTCGTGTGAGCACAGGTGAAAACTGAATTCTAAAAATGAAATGACCGCAATCGTGTATATTTATGCAGATCATTTGTCTTAAATCAATTTGAATATTTTTGAAAGCAGTTGCAAAAAAGCATACTTCTGCTTGTTTTTCGGCTGTCATCTGCTGCTGGCAATAACAAGGCGTTTCTCATTCATATAAACAACAGAGTCGCCCTTTAAATGTTGAATGATGATGATCTTCCCATGACCCCTTGCTCGAGCCATAACTCAGCAATGCGTCTGCTGCGAGCACGGCTGAAAATGCGGGGTTGGAAGGGTTTTTCACCTCTGTCCTTGGAATTCCTTGCAGCCTTGCGAAATGCTTTATATGCCGATGGGAAGAGCAGGCTCTCGGTGCCGATTTCGCGGGTGTAGTCGCTCGTCTAGCGATTTTTTCGGTGGCTTTCACCTTAACGCACTCTTTCGTCCGATTAGACGATAGTCGCCCATCGCTTGAAGGAACGCATGAAAATGTGAAAATTTTGAAAATTTGAAACGCTACGTTTGGAACCGCAGGCATTCTGTTCGATGGAGGGGATGTGGCCGAAGGGGCTGCTCCACATGATGACCCATCTCAACATTCCCCATCAAGGGAGGCTTCACTCGGGGATCGGTGAGCGATTTTTCAGCGATTTCTTTCTCGCTTTCACCGGTTTTTTTTTAATGATGGAGGGATGGGGTGTGAAAAGATGATTGCAAGAACATGGCGACGGTGGTGAAGGCGCTGGCCGAGAAGGGTTGCGTGTTCGAAGAGACTCATCACCAGGTGGACGAGCGTCCGCCGAGGTGAAAGGCGTGAGACGCCTTTCGCGTTTTGTGTGTCCGTGTCTCGTTTGCTGGTGATATCCAGATATTCTATTAATAAATCGATTTGTGTCTGATCGAAGGACGGGGGTGTTACTTGACGGAAGCGGCTCGATCCCGCGTTATCGCGCGGTTTGTTTGAAGGCACCGATAGGTGATGTGTGTCGGGGGTGACACGCCTGATGCCGGCGATCCGGGAGGAATCACCGTGACAACCTGGCAAAAAAAAAATAAAAAAAAGGGGAGCCGATAATGGAAGGCAATTTGCGTTAGAGGAGGGCGTGAGAAAGAGCAACACACTCCTCGCCCCCTTCATTGTTTTCCCCAGCTCCCAGGCGATTGCACCGAGAAAAATAGAGGGAAAACGGAAGGGAGACGATTCCCTTTCTCATCCGGTCGCGGAGATTCCTTCCACCGGCCCTGGGAATCTTCCGTTTCCGCCCCTGGCCCCGTCCTCGAAAAATGTGGAATCCGGTTCATCCGGGGAAGGATGACCGTGACGGCTTTCCTGCATCGTGACTAACAAAGATATCGCGGAAGCGACGTTCCGAGAATACATCCGTCTAACGGATCCGAATTTCCATAAGCCATAAACTCAAATCCAAAAAAACTCGACCCATCCGCCCCCTCCCCCCCCCCTCTCCCCCTCCCCTCCTTCAGGTTTTTCAGCGATAGAGATCTATATGAAAGTCCTAGGTTTGGTCTTGATTCAATTTCAGGTTTTGTTATCGGTCAACCAGCGAAGGGCGAGTCCCATCTCGCCATCGAGTCGCATCGCCGATCACCCCCAATTTACCAGAGATTATCGATCTCTCCCCGATACGATCTCGCGATCGAACTGGCCCCCCCAGTCGCGGTCGGAGGGGAAAAACCTTGCGGCGACCGCGATACGATCGTTTGAAGGTCGTAAAATGCGCGACGAGACAGTGATGTATTTGGTTACGCGATGTCCTGTTGCCACCTTGTTGCCACCTTGTTATTGCCAGCAATCTTCAGCAATGATGGACCAAGAACTTAGTTATCATTGTTCAGTTTGGAAATTTTATTTTCATTACTTTGGACTGTACTAAACTAGATAGAAACATAGCTTCAACTGTGCACTAAGGAAGGCT